GCAGTGGATGTTAAATTTGCATTATAAAGATAAATGCACTTTAAAGATTACAAGTAAACTAAATAATTATTTAAGTTAGGCACTCAAGAATCATGATAAAAAGATAAAGTGCTCTCATTTTATCTTGGCTCTTGCATATTTTAACTTTTATATTGCTACAAATATGTAGCAGTCTGAAAAGGAAACAAACATCTATTATATCTTTAGTGAGCCAGACATTGAAAAATTATATGCATTTATATATTTGTGTATATGTATGTGTGTATATTTACTTATATATACATATATATGCTGTTTCATCATGAGAGCCACCCTGTGATTTAAGCATTATGACCATCAACATGGGCTTGGATTGGAGATCAAGAGTACAGGGTTTGTCTAGAATGGGCATAGCCCTAAGTTCAGTACCTAATAATACACACACACACACACACACACACACACACACACACACACACACACACACACACACACACACACACACACACACACACACACACACACACTGGTTTGCACACACACACACACTGGTTTGAGTCCAACCCAGACAAAAAGTTGGCAATACCTCAACTCATTCAGCAAGCTGAGTTTGCACCTGTCATCTCAGCTATGTGGAAGATAGAAATATCACAGAACAGGCAAGCATGGGCAAAAACTGAGACACTGTTAGCAAAATAACTGAAGCAAAAAGTAGTGTTTGGAACATAGCTCAATGTGATAGAGCACCTGTGTAATATGGGGCCCTAAGTTCAAATCATAATATCACATAAATAAAATTCAAGATGATTTTGAATAGCTTAACTTACTTGCCTTAATTTTAATACCTCATATGATATTTAGCCTAGAACTAGAGATGATAGTTCATAGATATATATATAGAGAGAGAGATCTCTCTCTCTATATATATATATATGTATATAGTTTTGTAAAATAACTTACATTAGCCATGCTCTTTTTACTATGATTCATGCCTTGCAAATACCCATTCAATGACCGGTTGCAATAAGGACTCTTCTAGATGTTAGGGATATAGTGGTTATGAAGACAGAGGAGAACTTTGTCTTTAAGTTTATTTCTCTTATCTTGTAGAGCACTTTATTTAATAAATTATAATAAAGTGTACCAAAATGTATATAGAAATATAGAGTTCAAGGGACAAAAACTCCCACAGATGCTTCAAATTGTCTTGGATACAACTTTTCTAAAGTACCTTGATACCATGTACATGAAAGTCTCAAATGTGTCCCACATTATATTCCCTATTTAGTTCATAATGATATTTATCATTACTATGGAGAGAGATCTTGTATTTGTGTTATGTCTACTTCACAGAAATATTCCTAGAATTAAGACCTGAAATTATAGAAAATAAATAAGAAAGCAACTTTCGGTAAGTTTTAGATATTGGAATGAGAATTTATACAAATTTTCCTTTAAAGAGGAAAATGTATCTTTTGCGAATGAGGAAGATAGCTTGAGAATTATGTTTATAATAATCACTGTGGAATACCAGAGGAAGTAAAAAATACAGAAAGATAACATTACAGACGCCCTAGAGAACAAGGATAAATTGCCTAAAGTAAAAAGACAAAATGATATAAAGTCTCAGAATGTCACATGGTTTCTTCCCTGAAGATCAACAAGTGTAAATAATTCATTTGTGTTTTTTATAGTTTCATCATATAATAAATATCTTTTCCATTAAAATGGTCATTGAGAAAAATGTAAAAGTACAATAATCTCTCTTGGTTTCAAAACTTATAGTTTATTCTTAGTGTCATTAACACTAGATAACACTTGAACATCATGAAGTAACTGAGGATATAAAATGAAATAATTGCATAGCCCAAATGGGTTAATTTTGTGATATGTATATTATATCTCAAGCTGTCATAAAATGGAAGGAAATAGGAGATTGAAAAGTATTTATTATTATAAAGATATTATTATTATAAAGTTATTGTAAAGATGATGTGCAGAGGGGTTATAGTTACATAAGTTAGGTAACCAGTACATTGTTTTGAGCAGTGTCACCCCTTCCCTTACTCTCTCTCAGTTTCCTCTCCTGACCCCACCCACAGTTGTATAGTTCCTTTCCAACATAATGTCTAGTGAGTATAACTGCTGCATTTGTTAACCCTTTGTCCCACCATTTTTGTGATCTCATTACCCTCCCCGAAACAGATAAACTTACACCCAAGACAAAATAAAACAAAAATGGCAACAAAGAAAATAAAATCTCTTGTTTCCATTTCTTAGAATTCATTTTGATAACTATTATTTTATGTGATCATACACACATAGCTACTGAGCCTTTGTGATCATCTCCTAAGAATATCCTCCTTTGGTTTCACTATGTGAATATCTAGAGACATGTATAATTTATCATATCCCAGTGTATTTTTTTCTGTAGCAAAACTTGGGGAACAGAGTATTTTAATCACTTTGTAGCTCAAGGAACATATGAAGAAGTTCTTTAGAAGACAGTCTTCTCTTTAGGTATTGTGAAAAATAAATTATATAAGGAGTATCCCTAATCATTTTCTCAATTTATAAAGTCAGTCGGTTTTTTTTTATATACTGGGCTCCCCTCTTGTTCTGACTATACCTTTTTCTAGCTTTCTCTTTCTTTTCCACTTCTACCCATCCCCTGAAACAAGCATAAACAAGAATTCAAAGAATTCTCTAAAATTCTTTTGTTCCTTTCCTTACCCTTTCAGCTTGCTCCAATCAGGAATCCACCCTCTAATGAAGCTGGAATTGTTTTTTGCCTGGTTACCAGTGACTTCCATATTCAATTCCAGTATTCCAATTCTAGTTTCTCTGTCCTTATTAAAGTTCTAAGTACCTTCCACCACAGTCAACCACTCCATCTTTCTGTGAACATAAATATCATCAACTTTGATCTGAATGTTTAGGCTGACGATTGAGTAGTCAGACTTGATTCATTTCTTTCCTTATTTCCTCATCTCCATCAGAGAACTCTGCCTGTTTTATCTCTAAAATATATACAGGAACAATTCCCTTTTTCAGAGCACTATTTCCACCCCAGATATAAGCCTCTGAAATCTCTTCACACAATAATGTAATATATTTTTAGAATACTTGTTGGACTATTCCATATATACGTACATATATATGCATATATCCATATGTATACATGGTTCTACTTTTTAGCCCCACCTCCAGACCTATATTTTTAAAATTTAATCATTGAGTTGTAGTAAGCATTTTCAATTTATCATGCCTATATATGTGTACACTGCATTTTGATCAGGTCATTCTTTTCACTGCACTTACACCTCCCTAACCATTTCATCAAGTTTACTAGTTCAGTACTTTTTTGTGCCAGTCCTAGGGCTTGAACTCAAGGCTAGGCCTCTGTCTCTGAGCTTTTGTCTCAAGGCTAATGTTCTACCACTTGAGAAACAGCTGCACTTCTGACTTCTTAATGGTTAATTGGGGATAAGAGTGACATGGTCTTGCCTGCCCAGGATGGCTTAGAATGAGATCCTCAGCTCTTAGCCTCCTGAGTAGCTAGCATTACAGATGTGAGCCACAAGTGCCTGGCTCCTAGTTCAGTTTCCACAGTGTACAATGAGTAGTTACTGTGTTTAACCACCATTTCTTTCTTCATTTATTTCTCCTTTCTTTTAAGCCCACTCCCTCAGTTCAAGATGCATTTCAGCTTCCTATACTTTTTGTTGAATTTTCTATTAATTGTTCAAAGGAATCCCACCAAGGAAATCATACTCCTCAGTATATCATCCTTTAGTCAGGTTGATCACATATATATTCATAGGGCTCTGTATGTGTTTCTAAATATATCTAGTTTTGACATATGAGAGAAAACATGTGTCCTTTGTCTCTCTTAGGCTGCCTTACTTTACCTGGTCTATTTTTTTCTAGGTCCGCTCTCCCTTCTAATAACATTATTTTTCCTAGTAGATCAATAAAATTCCATTTTATGTTTTTATATCTACATATGACACAATAAAATTGTATTTGTTTGTAAATGACATGATTTTGTATATAGGAAATCTGGAGGATTTCCACCAAAATGATGTGTATCAAAAGGAGGATAATAGATGTGTTCAGTAAGGTTGTAAAATACACAATCAATTTACAATGACTTTTCTGTAAATTAGCACTTGTTTGTAAATAGAATTTAAGAAAATTCCACTGACAGTAACATAAAAAGAATAAAATACAGAAGTTCAAACACCATAATGTGAGAAAGTATGGATGATGATGGAATGATATCCCTTTCATTCTTCCTTGCTAGCACATCTTGTTAAAAACTATTATAACCTAATTCCTTATAGATCTGCTAATAAAATTAATGGTAGTGATAAGTAGTTTTGATTTCATCAACAACCCGTCACTGTGCCTGTAATTGTAGGCAGCATAGATCTACATGTTTTATGTGTTAGGGCCATGCACGGTTCATGCCAGTAGAGAAACTGGTATGTAAACAATAGGTAGCAAACTCATCTAAATACAAATCCCATCAAGACAAAAGAGATTCTTTCTGGATAGGCACTATTAACAACCACAACTCCATCTTATAATTTAGCTCTTGCTTATAATTAGCATTACTATTGCATTAATAATACTTCATACTTAATATTTTAGAGTATTCTTAATAGTGCCCATTTGTTTCACAGTGTTTCATCCAAATATGGTAAATGCAAGGGTAAGACCTAATCTAGACCTTATATTGAAAAGAAAGTTAACACTCTAGAGACGTATAAAATTTGTAATCAGATTTTAAATTGCAAGAGGCCTTTCATTCTCATTATTCTGATGCTTATAGTATCACCTAAGAAGTCCCCTTGATCAATCTCCCTGTTGCCATTACTAGTCAGATGTTATCTGGGATGCAAAAATAGCTTATGATTTTAACAAAATATCAAACTTTCTTATTGCAGGATTATCTGTAAAGAGATTTTTTTAATGTCTTCTCTGGCAAACATCTATGCAAGTCTTGATGTAGCAGTGCTAAGGTAGCTTCTGAGAAGTTGGAAGACCATAAACCAGAGCTTCTACCCAATTCTGTCCAAGTGGGGTAAGCTGGGGTTTATGTAGAAAGGGAACAAAAATCCTCTTTAAATTTTCAACAAGAAAGTTGACTATCAGTGATTTTACTTTAATAACCAAGACCCATAGATTGAGTGGCTGAAACAATGGAAATTCATTTTCTAGATACTAGAACTCTTAAGATTAAGGTTTTAGCTGAGTTGTTTCAGTCTGAGATTTGTAAGGTAAGGATCTCTTTCAGGCTTCTCTTGGCTTGTAGGTGACCATCTTTTCCCTGTATGTTCACATCTTCTCTCGTATATGTTTGAGTCCAAATTTATTCTTTCTAAGGTGAACCATCATGTTGCATTAATGACCTCATTTTAACACCCTCTCTCCAAATACAAAAACATTCTGAGTCAGGGGAGGACTAGGGCTTCCACATATGAATTTGGTGTTTGTAAGGTCAGAGGATGAGTCATAATTAAACTCATAATAGTGGCTTTGCTGTTTTAACATGTATATTTACTAATATACGATTTCTACAGTGGTTGTAATATTTTCTTTTTATTTCACAAACTCTAAAGTTAATATCTAGCTTGCTAAAGTAGAAAAAATATACACACAATTTTTAAGATATTGAGTACTTGAAAGAAAAATAGATTGTTGCTTTGTTGTCATTGTTTAAATAGGGATTGGACTCAGGACCTCACATTTGCTAGCCATGCCATTTTAGCCATGACCAGTTCCCTTTTCTAGTTTGTTTTTCAGATAGGATCTTGTGCTAACATTTTATGGACTGAGCTCAAACCATAGTTTTCTTCCTTCTGTCTCCCATGTAGATAGGAATAAAGGAATATCCCACCATACCGAGGCCTGTTTATTTTTTCTCATGTGTGAAATTAAGTGAATTTCAGAGTAGAGAAATAGGATTTATTGTATGAAAAATCATATATAATTTTCATTTTTAGGGTATTTGAAGTATTTTCAGGTATTTGTTTTCTCATAATTTGAAATAACTCATTCATATAGATTTTATACTAGAAGTATTTTGTGAATAATTTTAAAGTTTCTCAAAGTTCTAATCACTCACACCTCTATTGAGATATTAATCAGGACAAACAGTGCTTCAGTGCAAAAACCTTGAAAGAGGTTAGTTCTTAAATGCACAAAGAGGTAAATTAACTGACTATGGGGTTTTTTGTCATCTCCTTTCATCAAACATTAAGTTAGAAAAAGTGTTTATATGAGACTTTTGAAGCAGAATCAAAACATATCTTGGAAAAATGGCAAATCTTTATAGTTTTTGATGTCTTATGTAGAGTATCAAAGCATTAACTAGTTACTAACTAGTAAAGACTATAAAATATTGTATAATCTGAAAAGTACAAGTCTCAAAAAATAGTACAAAACGAAGGTTAATGAATCATGAGGTATATTTGAAAAAACATCAAGACTAAGTGCCTTCTGAAGGAAGAGGTTTATTTTATTTTTAATCCTATTTTATTTATTGGAACAAATTAGCTGCTTAGTGGGATTTCATGTTGTGCCATTTAAAATATTTTATTTATTTTTATTGTAAAGGTGATGTACAGAGGGCTTATAGTTACATAGGTTAAGTAATGAGTACATTTCTAATTGAACAATGTCTCCTCTTCCGTTTTCTTCCAGTTTTTTCTCCCAGCCCCCCTCCACCACAAATTGTATAATTTGTAACATAGCGTATAGTGAATATCACCCTTTGCCCCACCATTTCTGTGCTTCCCCTTATCTTCCCCCAAACAACTAAACTTATATCCAGACAAAAAAGTACAGAAATTTAAAATAGCAGCAAAAGGAAAAAAAAAAACAGCCAAACCAAAAAAAACCCACAAAAAATAAAATAAAAAAACCTCTTTTTTTCCCATTTCTTTTCATTTTGATAAACATCATTTTATGTGATCATATGCACATATCTATTGAGCCTTTATAATCCTTTCCTAAGAATATCTTCCTTTGGTCTCACTATGTGATGTTTAAATCCTGTTTATCATGCCCAAGTGCAAATTTTTTGCCTTTTACCATTCATTCTTTTACCATTCATTCTGTTTACTAAAATACATAGAAAGTAACCAAAGATGTGAAGAACCTCTATGATGAAACTTTAAAATCTGAAACAAGAAATTAAAGCAGATTTAAGGAAATGGAAAAATCTTGCATGTTCCAGGATTAGGATTGACATTGTTAAAATGGCAATACTGCCAAATGCTATCTACAAATTAGTGCAATACCTATCAAAATTCCAACAGCATTCTTCAATGATATAGAGGAAGCAATCGAAAAATTCATATGGAATAATAGAATACCCCAAACAGCAAAAAAAATCCTTAGCAGGAAGAACAGTGCTGGAGGAATATCAATACTAAACTTCAAACTCCATTAGAAAGCCATATAAAAACAGCATACTGGCACATGAATTAGCCTAAGGACCAATGAAATAGAGTAAGAGACTCAGAAATGAACCCAGAGACCTATAGCCACCTAATTTTTGATAAGGGAGCCAAAATGATAGGATGGGAAAAAAGGTAGCCACTTCAACAAATGGAACTGGCAGCATTGGTTTTACAGGTACAGAAAACTGCAGTTAGATCCTTATATATTATCCTACACCAGAATCAATTCCAAATGGATCAAAGACCTCAATGTAAGGCCAGTTACCATGAAAATATTACACAAAGGGATAGGGGAAACACCAGGGCTCCTACGCATGGGTCAAAACTTCCTAAGACCCAGAATCACAACAAATCAAAGATAGACTGGATAAATGCAATTGTATGAAACTGAAGAGTTTCTGCATGGCAAAGGGCATAGCTAGCAAGATGAACTAGAAAGCCCACAGAATGAGATATCTTTACTAGCCATGCATCAGACAAGGGCCTCCTTTCTTCCTTCCTTCCTTCCTTCCTTCCTCCCTTCCTTCCTTCCTTTCTTCCTTCCTTTCTTCCTTTCCTTCTTTCCTTCCTTCCTTCCTTTCCTTCTTTCCTTCCTTCCTTCCTTTCTTCCTTCCTTCCTTCCTTCCTTCCTTTCTTTCTTTCTTTCTTTCTTTCTTTCTTTCTTTCTTTCTTTCTTTCTTTCTTTCTTTCTTTCTTTCTTTCTTTCTTTCTTTCTTTCTTTCTTTCTTGTCTAGTCGTGGAGCCTGAACTCTGGGCCTGGGCGCTGTCCCTCAGCTCTTCAGCTCAAGGCTAGCACTCTACCACTTGAGCCACAGCACTACTTCCGGCTTTTTTCTTTTTGCTTATGTGGTACTAAGGAATTGAACCCAGGGCCTCATGCATGCAAGGCAAATGCTTTATCACTGAGCCACCTTCCCAACCCCAAGGACCTCATATCTAAAATATACTTAGAGCTCAAATAATTAAAACCCCCCAAAACAAATCCTCAAAGAAACAAACTACTCACTTGATAAATGAGGTAAAGATATTTCCTTTTCATTGGGTATATTTCTTAGACTTGTTATATGTATTAATGATTACTGACTTTTTGTGCTGTATTATGACTGATGATTTTACTGAATACATGTATACTTTAGTTTTAGGTATTGAATCCGTTGACATTTTTGAAGATTTTACCTGTGTAACATTGGCATTTGGCTTGTTTTAACCTACTTTTCCCTGCTACTTTATATTTCAAAATAATTCTACTAGAAAAGATGTATAATAATAAATCCTGAGTGAATTGATTTGGGATGGATTTTTTCATTCAGGCTTTTTGAACATGTGATGTTGCATGATAAAGGAATTCTAAATATGGAGCTCTTAAATTGTACAATCTTTATTAAAAGCCTCATTGATTTACACCCAAAGCAATCATTTCTACTTTTCTAAAAGCTTCGGTTGAAAAAATCACAAGTTTTATAATGAGGGAAGAATATTTTGACTACGTTATATGTGAGCTGAAGCTTATTCTAAAATTGTATATTGTCAATAATAAGTGATTCACTTTTTTATATGAAGCCTATTGTGATTATATTGTGATTCATTTAAAGAGAAACTGTATTTCTTCCTTTCAGAATTCACAGAAAAATCTTGTTGTGTAGGATTATATAGACAGAGCATGTAATAAATTCACTGGGTTATCCCACAGCCTTTGAAGTATAAGAGTCCTCAAAGGGATTGATGTCCTTATAAGAAGAGACACGAAAATCCTTACTCTCATTCATGTCAAGGAAATGACATGTGATAAGTTAGAAGAACACATTGGTTTATAAACTAAGATGAGATCCTTCATCAGAAAGCCAATCAGCTGGACACTAATGAGAGCACTAGTCAACAAGTTCAAGACCCCATATCAATGAAAACCAAAACAGGACAGAACAAAAAACACTTTGCTTAAGACTCTAAGTTCTTTGTGACTTTAAATGAGCATCATTATTCCACAATACTGTGAAATTTGGGAAATTATGTAATCACTTAACCACAATTAAAAAAAAAAAGAACCTGGGGAAAGCAGGGAGGGAAAGGATGGTAGGGGGAAAACAATGGAGGGGGTAACAATGCTCAATAGGAAGTGTACTCATTACCTTGCTCATGTAACTGTAACCCTCTGTATAGTATCTTTACAATAAAAAATTTTAAAAAAGACTCTAAGTTCTTATCCTTCTCAACTTTCCCTAAAGTATTATGAAATTATATTATATTAAATTAAAATTTTATTAACCATATTAAGTTCTCTTTGGAGGTAGGCAGTGCACAAATAAGCAGTTGCATAATCCTGTACTACTTTATAAATGTATTATGTACAAATTTAATTTTTAAAGGTTTAACTGAGGTCATATTGTATGTTCAAAATTTCAGTATTATAATCTTTGGTTATAAGTAAAATTATTATCTAGAAATGAAAGTAATGAAAATTAAAATCAAGCTAGGAAGAGTGGAACACGCTTGCAATTCAGCACTACCATGTGTGTGTATATGGGGAGAGAATGCTGAAACAGGAGGATGTGAGTCTAAGGCCAATCTAAGCTACATATAGAGACCATGACTCAAAAAAATTAAAGGAAAACATTGAAAA